GTATCATATGTGACCACTATCTCAAGGGTAATAGAAAACTGCCAAGTTTAAGGCCACCAGGGCACACACTTATTTATATAGAAGTACTCCCTCTTATAAAGTTTCCATTTTTTTACTAAAATACATTTAATCTTATATCTATTAGCAAATCAATGCTATGGAAAGAAATTTAACTATTAAGTTGAATTTGGGAACAACGCCAATCTTTGCCAATGGGTGAATGGTGAAACAAACCTTGGTATATCCATACCATAAACACTACTCAGTAATAAAAGGAATGAAATGTTGATACATACAACTTGGATGAATCTCCAGAGAGTAATGCTGGATGAAAAAAGCCAATTCCAAAAGACTGCATACTGTAAGGTTTCATATATAGCAGTCTGGTAATACCAAAATTATAGAAATGGGGATCACAGGATCTCCTACAAGTAAAATTACAATTATCTAAAAAGAAAAAAAACTTTGTAACAATAAAAAACCCACCAATATTACTTGCGTCACCTCAGATTAAAGGCAGATTTAGGTAACATTCGCAGAAACCAGCCAGTATACAAAGACACCCCCAACAGAAGGAAAAATGCAACAGATAAAAGGACAGAATAGCCACAGGGAAAAAAAAGTGTCAGAGAAAACAATGAAGAAAATAATATGCTTGTAATGAACAGCTAATGATTATTTAGATATATTCAGGCACACACTAAATTTGGCTCAGTATTAATTCAAGAAGGAAAGCTTACCCGATGCTTTGCCTTAATTTTCTTCCTGTATTCTTCTTTGTCAAATTTGTCCTCTTCCTGTAGTCTCTCTTTTGCTTTATCTAAGTTGATACCACCAGTGTCATCTTCTTCCTCATTATCCTTTGTGACAGATCTCTGCATTTGTGGCCACTGCTGAACCAACTACAGACAGAAAAAAGGTAAGTGTCAGGCAGGAAACAGGGAACATTACTTCCTTTTGTAGGATAGTTCTTAAAAGGTGCCTACACCGACTTTCTGCCTTACAACCTAACAAACTTCATAACTAAAGTCAGCAAGTCACAGAAGAGACTGTCCCAGTCAGGGTAAAGTAATGCTGCCATACCCAGTGAGAACAGAATTAAAGGAAAATTTCAAAAAATAATTTGGAGAAGGCAGTTGCGGAGTAGGAATGCTTCAACAGCTTCTCGAACAGCATTCTTAGTATCCTATTCTCCATAGGACTCAGCTCAAAATTACCTGCACAGAGCAGGACCTAGACCGACTAACATGTACCTGCTTGGGGCCACTGTGGAACGTTATGCGTACCTCTAACACATACCTCATGGCACTGTGTTGATTTTCCTATTTCTCTTAGCAGAATTAATCTCTTAGAGGGAAGCTGTATGTCTTGTTCATTTATCCTCAGAACTCAACACAGTACCTTGCATGTATTAAAGAGGAGCTCAAAATTGATCACTGAATCACATATCAGCCAGTATTACACACGAGAACTGAAGTAACTAAACATAAAGGAGAAAGTTAGTTTGTGTTTCACAGGCCTGCTCAAAGCCACATGATTTACACACACAGTTTATGGTAAGGAACAAGGTAACTTAGAAGAGAGGGTACTGATCTGGGAGTCAGCGGATTTGGCTAAATGTCCTGGCTTTTTCACTAGCCTAACTGCATAATGCTGAATAAATTACTTAATCTTTGGACATCTGTGTCCCATCCCGAAATATAAAGAAGTTTGACTTAATAATTTCCAGGTCTAACATCATAAAGCTCTACAGACTATTTAGGTAAGAACAACTCTTATTTTATCTAGTAATTGGTCGCCAGGAGGATTTAAATAGCTGCCACTGTTTTTGAAAGACTGCTAATTAACCTGCAAGCAAATGGAAATTACAGACACACACATCGCAGGCATTAACGCCTCCTCTCTCACAGTTGTGACCACCACAGCCTTTCTTTAAGATGAGATTCCGACACAGCCTCGGCTTTTGGCAACCAATGGGGGTGACAACTATTACTACAGGAGCAGACAGGCTAGCAGTCACTGACCCTAAAGAAACAGTGAGAGGGATCAATTCTAACAATAACAATATCATCTGTTCCTCGCACTCCTCATCCCTACTGCTATCACAGAGGGAATGGAGTTTCTTTCAGAGCTTTAGGTCAGAACTTTCAGGATGGCTCACAAACAGCTCCTATCGGCAGTAAGTATACACTGAAACACTTCATAGTTAAGGATTCAAACTCATCCTGGAGCTGACTGGTATAATTTGTATGGTTAAACTTCACAGCACACTAAGGAACCTCATTACACTAAGAGCACTCATCTTATTTTACAGTGCACATCAGATGTCATATGACTTTTCTAGGTTAGCCTGCTTCTCAGGTGTTGACCTCTTTTTAGAAATTTTATAAAGATTCATTATCTGTTATTTATATAGGCTTCCTCTTCAACTTCCAGCACCTTTGAACTGCACACCCTTTTGTTACTTTCCATCACTTACATCCAAATTTTCAACTTCAGAATTAAAAAGAAATACTCCATTGGATATGGACTTAAGCAGCACTTGTATTAGTGATGATGAAATGTACGTGACATATTATAGTCATGTAATGTGACTAGAAAAACTCACTGTTATTTTATTGAGATAGATGCTTCATTCAATAAATCTGAGGTATTATGTTACGTACTGTTCTAGGTGCTGGGGATAGGACAGTAAACGAAGTCCATAAAATGCCTTCCCCTTATGCAGAAGTAGTGTGGCAGAAATTCACAAGAGTCAGATATAAACTGAAGTCACAAAATGACTGATGCTATGAAGAAAAATAACACAGGGTGAGGGAAATGAGATTACGGTAGGGGTAAGGTGTTGCACATGCTGTTAGGATGGTCAGGAAAGCCTGCAGGCTGGTGAAATGAGGCCATGAGATGATATTCGGAAGATCTGCAATAACCACTAACTAGTCATCACTCCCTAGGTAAGTCACGTGGCATTCTGGATCTATTTCATCATTTAAAAATTAAGAGAATTGTTATGTAATAGAGTGACCTTTCATAAGTAATCAGTGAGTGGTAACCCCTTCCCTACACTATAAGTATGTATTTACAATAAGGTCAAGGTAAAGGTGAGATGAAAACTAGGCACGTAGGTGTCTGTGATTATTCTGCAGCAGAGAAAACCCTCCCATACCCAGCGTAGCAAGAAACATGCAAGTACAGCATCTAAAATTGAGGAAGTGCAAAGCAGAGATTTTTTAGAGTCAAACAAAAGAAGCCATGGCAAGTAGCTATGTTAGTATTCTTGCATTTGTTCCTGCAGAACAGACTGATGAATACTATGACGAGAAAATCTTATCTATAAAAACAGAATTTAGAAAGTTCAAAACCAACTCTGTGTTGGTATCATCAAGAAGTATCTCAGTTTATTGACAATAAGGCATCCTTCTTCACAGGCGTAGAGCTGATGAAATGCCTACAGTAACAGTGAAAAGAATGGCCCAGCATGCTGTAGAGAAACATTTACCTCCTCATTACTGAATATAAGTCAACAGGGGAGTCAATCTCTTCATGATTCTCAGAATGTACCCCTGAAATAAAGCATTTACAGAATCTTACCTCCCCTTCATCAGTAAATGTTATTTTCTTATTCACTTTGAAATTTCTCTTCATTACTTTTTTTGCTTCTGCAACTCTGGTCACTTTTTTCTTGACACTGGATTTAGAAGGTTCTTTCTTCTGTTTGAGAACATATAAAAAAATACAGATGATTAGGGAAATGGTTGCTTTAAATTAACAATTTAACTCTGGCAATATACTTTCCAAAAGTGAGCGCAATTATTGACCACTGGCTAATGAGAAGCACCAAAAACACTGTCCAGAAATAAAACTGTACTTATTAACTAACAACCCCTCCCAAAGCTAAAGAGGTTTAAGTATAAATAGGAGAGACAGTAGGTATAACCTTTACATTTTCCTCTATTACTAGAACTGTCCTATCTGATGATATTGAAGCACCAGAAATTACATGATAATGTAATTGGATATAAGATAAAGCTATCTTTCAGATAAAATATAACCTTATTTTAAAATTCCCCACTGTAAATTTAAATTTTTAGACTAGGAAATGTATATTTGGAAAACAAAATGACTGTAATACTTTGTATGCAAATCAACATTCTTCCTCTAGTGATTTACTATATGAACACTGCAATTAAGCTGTGTCCAAAGGTACAATGGAGTAAAAGAATACGCTGATTCAGACCTAGCTAATGGCCTAAACCCACTATCGCAAGATATTAAAAATTCAAAGCCACTGCTTACTTATGCTAAGTGAATGCTGAGTGAACCACCTGAGATGAGGCATAGAAGAGGTCACAGCTTAACCTGTTTTAAGAAGTAACTCATGTTCGAGAAAGAGTTGGATTTTTCTCTTTGAATCAGAGCTACTAGTACCATTGGTGGTACTTAGTTAACTAATCTAATGAGGCTTCTGTTAGAATGAGTAGAAGTCTTTGGTGTAGTAGGTACGAAAATGGATTTGAGTTCAAGTTCTACCACTTTTGAACTGTGCACAAGCAAGTTACCCAACCCCTGTGTTTGGTTGTAATTTGAAGATAATAATAGCACCTACCTCTTGGGGCTGTTGGGAAGATTAAATAATAAACGAAAAACATACAAAAAATGTTCGATAAATCTCGAATACCACTATTATGTATTGATTTCATACTCATAAAAGAGATCATGCCAACTGCAGAGGCTTAATTTGCAAAATACCGGACAGTAAACTTCCTAGGTGACTGATTTTTTAACTCTGTACCATAGGGAACCACCCAAGGAAAAATAAGATAAGAGGGGCTGATCCAGAAAACAAGAATTATCAGAAGCTTCAGGGAATATGCACACTGGTTACAACTGCTACATTATGGTAATAAGTTTACATAAAAAAGAACAATTCATTTAATAAGCAGACATTGTTAATAGTGATGAACACATAAATGCCTAGATCATAAAATTAAAAACAAATTTAAACAGAGGCTTGTGCCAAGTTATCAATGTATTATACTTTTAGATAATGGTCACAGTTATAAAAATCAGCTAGTGCATCTGCAGTAATATGATTCAAGTACAATAAAGTTGTTTTGATATGGATGGTTCTGTTCTGTGGGTATTACTAACAAACAGTGCTTTTGTATTTCTAGTTTGACTTGAAAACTATAGTATCTGGTTACATTTATTTAGTTCTCAGACCACAAATCAATTCATATTTAAGAAGCTGCTAGCATCTTTAATCCATACAAAGTTTATGAATTGATTGTGTCTAAGGCAAGTTTGAATTACATCAGAGACATTAATATGCTATAATCACTATGCCTACCCTGACAAGACTTCTATGAAAAGAGATTAAGTTTGTCTTAGAGTTCTTCTTCCCACTGGACACTCCACCTCCTCTATCTCCCAGGGGTCTGTGACTCCACAAATTCTATCAGCTGGTGGCATAAGGCCCTAAATTGCTGGGCCTACTCCTCATGACCCCTCTCCACCACTGTGCTTGCTCTATGATAGGTGACTATCATTCTTCCTCAATCACTATAATAATCCTCATTTCCTTATCTCCCTTTACAGAGTAACTGAGTAGTAAGTTATGTGGTGAGAAAACTCCTAAGCTGAAGAGGAACTGGGTGGCAAGAAGCTTGTTAAATAAGATGCTGGCTATAGGACTCCTGTGAGCACAGGCGATTAATAAGACTCCCACTTCCTTCAGCCCAATCAGTATTCTTACACCTCCTTTTCCTCCACAAAGGCTTATCAGAGACCACCACTAACTCAACCACCAGGGTTGGCAACTTCATTACTGACCCCTACTGTATATTCTTAGTTTGATGGTTAGGGCAATTCTTAAGGATCCTGATTGATTGATCTTCATGCATCAGATCTCATCTAATGATCAAGAAAATGCCAATCAAACAGTGCATTATAATATATAACTAAACAGGAAGAAGTTATAATTATTTAAACCAGTAAACAAACTAGGATACAACATGAGCAAACTTTCTAGAGTGATGGCAATGGTCCGTATTTTAATAAGAGTTTGAGTTACACAGGTAACTCAAAACTATCCACAGGTGTATATTTTTTTCAAAACTCAAATTTAATACTTTAGATTTGTGCATTTCATTGTATGTAAGTTTCTACCTCAATAAAAGCCCTATAAACAAATATTGACATGCAGTTAATGCCCTGCAAGCTGAAGTATATGGGGGAAAGTGCTAATGTTGGCAATGTACTCTGAAATGCACTAAGGATAGAAGGGTATGTGGGTAGTTTCGTGATAAAGGAAACATGGTAAGAGTTTAATTGTAGAATATGGGTATTAGATGTTTTGGTGTACAAAAGTACCTTTTATAACTTTTCTGTATATTTGAAAATCTTCATAATAATACAACAGCCCAGTCCCAGGAACAGGAGGAAACAGCAACAATACCAAAAATTCTCAGAATAAAGGTCAGTCAGAAAAAAATTCCTGCAGAGCAGATGCTTGGAGTGAGGTGGGTCCAGCTTAAGAGCTTTTGGGAAATCCATGAAACCACTGACATTATGTGACAAGATTTATAGGTATCTGCATCTTTGCCCTTTTTATGGTTTATCCTGGTTTCTGAAAGAGATCTGTGATGCCCCCCCACCACCACCAAAAAAAGTTTGAAATTTTTACTTGTGTTAGGGAAGCCACAGAAAGAAGGAACAGAAATTTCCACACAGGTGAGAAGAGGCCTGTTCATCATATTTTTCCTAATAAGCTGTAGCTTGGCTCTGATATTCTAGAATTATTCCTCACTCATTCAAATAAGCCCTGGATGTCAAAAACACACAAGGCATCACAGTACATGCTGGGGACCCAGCAGTGCAAAGGGGGATGTGCTCCCAACACTCATGGAGACTATCTGTTGAAAAAGATGTTTAACAACCAGCAGAAAGCATTAATGATTGAATCACAAATGTGGCACTTGGAAAAAGACAGAAAGAATGAACAAATATATGTAATAGAGTGCCTGCCCTAGGTAGTCAGGGGTGAGGAGCACAGGTGAAGACACTTCCTTTTGAGGGAGAGACGTTTGAACTGAATGGCACACCCTACAACACTGCGGCATTACTGGCACACATGTGATGTGCAAACACCTGTGCTGCCCACTGACGGTGTACTGCACATATGGCTTACAAGAGTCTTAATTCAATGTTATACTTTTTAATATTAACTTTAGCAGGTAATACATGCACATGTATTCTAGAAAGAATATTCAAGTGAAAAAGCTGCCTTTCATATCTTCTTCAGCAACCTCAGTCTCCCTCCCAAGAGGCAATCACTGTTACCAGCTTCTGTATCCTTACAGACAGATTTCACTCACATTTAAGTATGTATGAAAAACTCAAAGTTACTGAAAGAGCTACCCCACTGCAATGAATAGCCTTGTTTATACCTATTCTAAAAGTGCTCAAAGAGTATGTCCATTTAAAAGATATTTCCAAACAACACTCCAGAGGTTATACAAATTTATACTCCCACCAAAAACTGAAGAATTGATTCTTCACATCTACTTCAAAGTATATTAGGCTTTATGTTTGCCAATCAACTAAGTGAAAAAATAATATCTCAGGGAAGTTTTAAGTTGCAGTTGTATTATTTTATGCATGACAGAATATCTTTTCAAAGGCATTGTTTTTCTGTGCACTGTCAGTGTTATTTGCCAGTATTTCTAATAAGTTGTTAGCATTTTATTTATCAAGTTGTGAAATCTCTTCATTTGTTAAAGATGCTTCAATATTTTTTTGCATCTCATCATTTATGTTTAGATTTTTGCCATGAGTTAATCTTTTGTTGTTTTGCTTTTTCCCTAGCAGAGATTTTTAATTTTTGTGTAGTTAATTTTATTATTTATAAAGATGTTTTCTGTGATTGTGCCATACTTTAATTTTCCAATTAGAAGAATCTCTAAAAATGAATTTAACTTTTTATATGACAATTTTACTTTTTTGGAATTTTCAATATTGACTCTTGGACAAGAAAGTGCTCATTAATACTTTTTATATTCCCATTCATTAAGACACGAAAAATATAAAATACACCTATTATTAGGTAGGAGTTATATTTTGATTACAAGATTTTATGTTATTGGTACAAGAATGAAATTTATGGCAACTCAAAGAAGTATAATGAAAAAGTAGCTGGCAAGACATAAACCATCAAAATATAACTTTCATTTCTATTTGCACCTCTTCCACAACAAGTCAGACTTTAAAAAGCTAAAAGTATCATAAAATAAAAAATTGATAAAGCATCAAGTCATCTTCAATGTACTGTGATAGGTGTAGGAAGTTACCACCAATAACTTGGAAGATAAAAGAACCACTAATCATAAAAACAATAATGGTTCCTAGCAAAAGGACAGTATTAGTTAACACTGGCTACAAGAGATTCAAAATATAATCATGGAAAAAAAATCTACCTTAAACATCACTACTAGATACCCTGGAGGGGACAATAAAAATATTATAAAATAATGATATTTTGAATGAAAAGCAAAAACCACATGGAAATGAAAGTTAGAATTAAAGAGAAAGACAGCCACTCTAAAGAAATCACATTTTCATGTTTCCTTAAAGTGGCTCCCATGTGCCAAATAATAAATAATTTATAATGAAAACTATTTAAAAGTGAAGGAAACCAACAAAATAAAAAATTG